TCCTAATATATACATTTGCCTATGTATTCATAGAATTTGACATATACTTTTACGCAATTTTTTTGTTCCCGTATTTTTATTATTATTATACATTGTTTATACTGGTATTGATTCATGAGAATATCTTTGTATATCCATATGTCTATTCATATATATTTTGTATTTTGGTGAGATTGACCTGTGTCTGTCCATATGTTTATTTGGACTAACATTGATCTGGCTTAGCCTTTAGTACGTTTTGACTTACTGTTGTAAACCGATTTTCATGGCTTTTCCAAGTTTAAGTTGTCTAGAGTCTTCGTGCATACTTAGTGTTTTACCCGTAACATGCCGCTTTTTTCAAATACAGGTGGAATGGTTGGTATCACAATAGGACAGCCGTTTGAAGTGTTGAAAACGCGAATGCAAGCACAGCACTCACCATATGCAGGTATACAAGCTCTACTGCGTGTTTTTGAAACTCTGGCATTTTCATGTAGGTTTTCGATGTATTGACTGTGTGTTTTATTACACTGTTCCAAAGGAGTATTGTGTGCCCATCTCAAGAGCTGTCGTTAGTGAAAGTTGGCGCTTTGCTGTGCTGAAGGAGCGCATCCGAGGCGGTGTCTGCATGTTCATTATACGTAGGCATCTGTCCCTCGCTATAGGTAGGTGTCTTACTATCATCCAAAACATATACGAACAACTCGAAAACATTGACTGAATGCACAATCATATCACATCTGGTTTGTATTGCGTAGGTTCTTGGCACTGCCTCACCTCCACAGTCAACGGTGAGGGGGTGCGCGCCTTATGGAAGGGCCTCAGTGCGCCGCTCAGTGGCGTGGCTGTATACCAGGTACTTCAACAACGTTACCAAGTCATATTATAATACCAGGTGATAGACCATTCAGGTAGTTCAACAACGTCACCAAGCCACATTATAATACCAAGTGATAGACCATTCAGGTACTTCAACAACGTCACCAAGCCATATTATAATAACAAGTGATAGGCCATTCAGATTTTTCAACAACGTCACCAAGTCATATTATAATACCAAGTGATAGACCATTCAGGTACTTCAACAATGTCACCAAGCCATATTATAATACCAGGTGATAGACCATTGTGTCTGGTTGATTAGATACATCTCTGGAGTATTCTTACATGATCCCTGTACGGGAATCAAGTTGGAAGTGTCTCCGGATTTACTCGTTGTATCAATGTTCGCCTCCTCGTGATACGCGCATTATGGACACTTCATATAACAGGCTGTGCGTTATACTTTCCTATATAATAAATAGATCGACTACGAACCAGACCTAGCTCCGCATACAATGTAGTTTAAGGCGTAGTGTGCAAATAATGCATTCGCTATTAAATATATCAGATGTCATGTACGAGAATATTCTTTCATAATCCTTCAGTTTCACTTGAAGCATTAGAATCATATCACACTGTAACCGTTCGATTGAAGCCTCTTCTAAGCCGGGCTTGTATCTCTCCCCAATACACGTATATATAATTGAATGCCATTACCCATTCTTCTCCACTTCCTCTGTGTCACTTAGACCGGGCGTATTGTATTACACTTTGTCACAACACCCATTGGTCATTCTATCTTGTGGGCACGGATTCGACGACCGCGTGATCTGCATGATTGTATTGAAGTTGACTGTGAGCCTCAAATCCAGGGCGAATCACTGGCTCGTACGCATCTAGCCATTTGAAACTTGCAATCCAGAACATGAATTTGCATCGTAGAATGCTTGGCTTAGACTCGCAAACCGTAGAATCCAGAATCATCGGGCATCAGGCGCACAGCCCTACCATTTTCATGTTAATCTCTTGCACATCAAAATATAAAGTACACCCTCCACCACATTTATTTCAGGCTGTTTGTTTCGCCTCGTACGAGGCTACCAAGAGCAGCATCCACCGCCACCGTCCAGGCACAGACTCCCAGTCCGCAGTGCTTATTTCTGGACTGGCATCGGGTGTCGCTACCACGGTCATTACCACACCCACAGATTTGATCAAGATACAGATGCAGCTGGATCGTGGCGTGGGAAGTGCCCGCAGGTACGGTCGGAAATTGGTGTACAGATATGGATCGTTGGGATCTGGTTGTGTGTGATTATATAACAATCTAATCTAGGGCGAGGCCACGACGGTTCGCGGTGCATCCGCAGGTCTGGTGTAACACGGTTACTACTGGATCATATTGGGGAGTGTTCGAGTAGTCCTTTACATTGTATGTGCTCATATACGTTTGCTATCTGGTTTTATCTACCGTGGTACTCACCGCACCGGCGATTCTCCTGGTGTAGAACCCTTCGTTGTCGACAGTCGCACTACACTACACTCCCAGTTTGGTGATCAAGTCTAGAGAGGCTTGCTTGCAGTGGTTGAAGAGGTTAAAATTTTGGCACGCTCTACACCTGCATCTCTTGGGGCCTTTAGGGTTTAAGCTAAACCCTGAACTATACCATCTGCCGCTACGTTTTTCCGAACTGTTCCTCCTTTCTGCATGTAGAGCCACCGTACATCCGGGCTTGTCTGCCACATATGCACACCATTGTCTCAGGAAACACTCGGTTCGAGTGGTGAGATACTATTCCTTGCTTGAACCCTGGTAGCTAGCCTGTAGCCCGTAACAGCGTTTGCTTACAGCCTTGACTTGTACGCTTCGTCCCTGTCTAGGTATACTAGCATGTTTTCTTGCATACGGGCCGTTGTCCGCCGTGACGGAGTGCGTGGACTGTACCGTGGTTACACCGCATGTGTGGCTCGAGACACGCCGAGCACATTAGCGTATTTTTTGTAAGTGCGCAGTGTGCATTCGGCCTTGCTTTATGAGTGCACACGCTTGTCCGCTCGGCACATGGACGTTATTCGACGCAAGTATATTCTCCGAACTCGTCCTGATATTCTTTGTGTGCCCTGGCATTGGTCGTGTACATGGGCCCTTTGTGTATACTAATTACTCTATTCGCATTTATGAGTCAAGCTCTAAACATCCATTCCGTAGTAGAGGTTTTGTCGATATCTCTCTGCTTATATTTATTATGTGACCTATTGAATTGTGTCAGACCTTGCGTGTTGGTCCTGAAATATCGGCATGCCTGCTGTACAGGACCAATACCTATCAGTTTGCTTCGGGACAAGCTGTGATCGTGCTTCCGCCTGATTCAAACTCTTCTCGATGTCTCGATGATTTGTGTATACAGCACCTACGAAGAGAGCAAACACTTGATGATCACACGGTTGCAGATCAATGAGCATACGGCAACCTTTGTAGCAGGCGGTTTGGCCGGGATGGCCAGTTGGGGCTCGATCATACCAATTGACCGTGTTAAAACTCAGGTACGCGGTTGCACCACGGATCATGCGCTCCAGAATGTTGCGAAAACTCTACGGTGTGCGCATACCAAGCATGTGAGGTGTGAGTTATTGAGGGCATGTCGGTCATATGTTCTACTTTGTGTGTGGATCAAGTGTATTGATCTCCTTGTGGTTCATGTGTGGTCGTGTCTGGTTGCTGTCCGTATGTGTCCCTTCGCGTGGCATGGCTTTGATCTGTGTGCCTGCTGCGTATGTGTTGTCTGTTCGTGTGAGTTGTTCTTGGGGCATGTATGTGCGAGTCTGTGTGTCTTGGTAGTGCGAGCTTCTGTCCGTGCAGGTTATGGCTGCGTGATTTGGTTGACTACATAGACTATAGTAGGGTTGTCATGTCCAGACTTTAACAATACAGGTTCAATTTGATTGTATTTGGTAGACTATGTTCATTAATTCCATTCACAATCTTTTTGATTTTCGCAGTTAGAGTGCGTAATAAATACAGAAAACAAGCCATTCTACGGTGTATATTATACTTCATTTCTGCATTTCTCGTATGTACGCCAAGTGAGAATTATAATATATTCCTCCCACTTCTTCATTTCTGCAATTCTCCAAAGTACGCCAGGTAAGCACTACAATATATTCTCACGCGTCATATAAACACCGCGGACGGACACCACATATCAACCCATACTATCAAAAGTATCGCGCGATATTAATACATGAATACCAATTTGTAACTTTTAGATACAAGCCATGGCAACGCAGAACGGCCGAAGCCCGGGCGTGATGGAGTGCATGCGCAATATATTAAAAAAGGAGGGATTCAGGGGACTCTACCGAGGGGGAGCTCAATGTCTGTTGCGTGCTTTCCCTGTGAATGCCGTGACTTTCCTGGTATACGAGAATATGATAAAGTTGCTCAAACCTCCGTAATAAGTAATATACATCAAATGTATTAATCTAGACCACGCGGGCGAGAATTGGTGTGCACAGGAAATTGGTTACGAAGATCAACACACGTACACGGATGCACATCCCGATACGGAACAATATGCGAATAACTCAATCTGATGTGATTCGCTTTAATCTTCTGTGGCCTGGCATCGGATGAAGTTGAATCCAGAGCTCAAGTATCAGAGCTGCGATGTATATAGTTCGCAATCAATGGAGTGGGTATCCGCTTAACCCATTCCAAGCCCATTGATCATTGAGAGATACCCTGGATTAAATTAGCTAAGCCGTATTACTGCCGTGATTCCTGAAGTGGTGATACGCTAGTAGCGTGGCGAATGTATATATATCCTGACTTATGTATTGCCATTGAGTCGGAGAATGATTAAGGTTCTCTCTTCAGTTCGTTAGAGCCACGAGACCGTCCTCGTTGGGTATCGTACTGTGCTGTAAAACCTCTTTGAATAAGCTGCTATAGCAACTGCTACATATCTGATACACTTTTGTACATGTCACTACTTACAGATAATAATTGCATCATATTCTTGTCTAGATACTCTGGCAATGTCTATCTGCAATACGATCCTTCGCACTTGTGGGCGAAAGTCGCGAACGAGATCCCATATTGAATAAATAGGTATCTTGTTTGAATGAATGCATTCTATAACAGTGTGTTAATATGTATATATATATATATATATATATATA